AGATTTAGAATTGATACTTTATTTGGGAAGCACAATCTCCGGACACAAAAGGAAGTGAGGCAGAAGAGAATGGGACAATACATAAGGCGATGCCCTATTTGCTGGCCACTGCTTCACAGCGAGCTAGAGAGAGGTGGTTCGGCAGGTGTGTACGCACGGCCTGCAGGAATTCTCTGGACAGAATAGTAATTCTGATCAGTAGCGGGGAATTGGAAGAAGAGGGAATTTATCTGCCTGCTTTTCTCCTGCCTCCCATCTCCATTAGTCAAACTAAGCTCCTCACGGAGAAAAGATCCCCCATTGACTTCCTGGTTGCATTTGGGCCCTTTTGTCACTCAATCTGGGTGTGGCACAGTATTTTCAAGTGGCAGAAACTGAGGTCAGATTAAATGTACACACACAAAAAAGAGTGTTGACTCATAGAACTGAAAAAAGTATTTTGGCCCAGGGATACAGATGATTATAGCAGAACTCTATCAATAAAGTCTTGCCTACTTGAATACCCATGCATTGGAAGTATTTGGGCTCCAGTTCTGTCTCCTTAGTTCTGAAAGAAAAGATCCGAGGATTCAATGATTGATTGGTCTGACTTAGTTCACATGTCTTTTGTTGAACCAGTTACTGTGTTCTGGGGCACATACGGTCTCTGGTCAGTGCTAGGTTCTCTGTGGCTTAGGGGAGAGATATGCTGGTGTCTGCCCCACTTAAGTCTCAGAATGAGTTATTTACCAAAAAGAAGGGTTTTCTAATCAAAAGAAAGCTGGTTATGCCAAAACAACCTGTGTTCTTTAAAAGTAGTAATTTTAAGTTGTTCTACATCAATGTAATTATAAAATATATGGCTGTATTGTTAGCTAATCTCCCTGCAATTTAAGTGCATCTTGTGAGACACCAGCTGTGGCTCTCCTGCTCTCAGATTTGGTTATGTTTAGCTCAGCCCTTAATGTCAACTCACAGCCTTCAGTATTTTCTCTTTTCTTGGCTCCCTCTGTCCTTTCCCTCTACTTCTTTCTGCAGCTGTACTTGCGCATCACCACCGGCGGTTTCAGGTTAGTTTTGTAGCCCACTAAGCTGAGCTCCTTCACTCATTTCAGCCATTTGATGATTTTCATAAAATGTGCTGAAGATGCAGGGATTGGAGTAAGTGGTCTTAGAGTGCCAAACTTTCTCATTGACTCTACTCCAGCTCCCCTTTCTTGTCATCTTCACTCTTTCTTTAGACAAACAAACCATTTTCTTCCCACCACGGGTTAAGTGTTGGGCTGCTAATCAAAAGGTTCTCACCTACCAGCTGCTCTGTGGGAGAAAGATGAGGTAGGTGGTCTGCTTCTGTAAAGATTTATAGCTTCATAAGCCCGAACGAGCCCTACCGGGTCCATAAGAGTCAGGATCAATTGGATGGCAGTGGGCTTTGTTGTGTTGTTGTTCTTTTGGCTTTATAGATTATTTCCAGACATACTCAGACCCGTTTTTTTAAAAATAGCTTTATTGAAGTCCAATTTACATACAATACAATTTACTTGTTTCAAATGTATGATTCAATGATAGTAAGTTTCTAGAATTATGAAACTATCACCATTTATCCAGCTTTAGAGCATTTCTATTTTCTCAAAAAGATCCCTTGTGCCATGCTGTAGTCACTGCCTGCTTCTACCGCAAGCCCCAGGCAACCATTAACCTACTTTGTCTGTGTCTCTCTGACCAGACCAGTTGTCATTGAGTCAGTTCCTATGTGTGTCAGAGGAAAACCGGCCTCCAAAGGGTTTTCAATTGCTAATATTCAGAGTAGGTCTACCCGTTTTTTCTTCTGGACAGGTTCAAATGCGAGCTGTTCAGTTAGTTGAGTGTGGAAACTGTTTACACGCCCCAAGCATTCTGTCTCTGTGTATAGATTTGTGTTTTCTGGAATTGAATGGTCTTTGTGTTTCAACTTTTTTAGCTTAATGTGTTTGAGATTCATCCTTGGTGTAGCTTACATCAGTACATTTGTTCCTTTGTATTGCTGAGTAATATTCCATTGTGTGGATATATGCTACATTTTGTTTATCCATTTGCCAGTTAATGGACTTTTGGGTTATTTCCAGTTCTGGGCTATTAGGAATGATGTTGCTATCAGCATTTGCATAGAAATCTTTGGATAGATGTGTTCATTCCCTAGGGTAGATTTTTTAATAATGGAATGGGTTGATTAATTCTATTTCACGGATCTATACATTTACCTATACAATAGAACCTTACTATTATATTGTAGCTTTGTTGGTAAATTTGGAAATCTGCAAGTGTAAGGGGCTGCAGTTTTGTACTTCCTTTTAAAATTGTTTTGGTAAGTAGAATTGAGTGCCTAAGAAGAAATTATTACATGATTGATCAACTCATATCCTAAAAGACAAGGTAATCAAATAGAGAAAAAGTCTTTTCAGCAAAGAATTAAACATAAATTTACCATAAAATCTCTGTGTTCTCAAAACACTTAATATAGGCAAAAAGAAGAAGAAAAAAGTACCTCAGAGATTGGAGTTTTATTTAGCAATCCACAAAAATCAGAAACGGGTCAAATTAGTGGTGGTAGGTGTTATGTTTCTATTAATATGAGTTGGGATTGACTCAGTGGCAGTTGTGTAGGCAAAGTAGACATTTTTATTCTTTAATACAGACTTCATGGACCATCGTTTTGACAGTAGAGATATTAATATGAACTATAGCTAGAATTCTTTTCCTTTGGACATTTACTTCCATAGAACAGGGCTTAGGAACTTTATGGATATAAATCAGTGGTTCTCAACCTGTGGGTTGCGACTCCTTTGCGGGGGGGGGTCAAGCGACCCTTTCACAGGGGTCGCCCGCTTCATAACAGTAGCAAAATTACAGTTATGAAGTAGCAACAAAAATAATTTTATGGTTGGGAGGGGGGGTTACCACAGCATGAGGAACTGTAGTAAAGGATCATGGCATTAGGTTGAGAACCAGATCTAAATGAAAACCCTGCCTTTACCATTCATGAGCATGAGCAAGTTATTTTATTTCTAAATTTCTAGATAAAAAATGTTTGTATGTATATTTCTGATTATAAAGCAATAAATATTGCTACAGAAAATTTGGAATATATATGGCCAAATGAGCCAATAAACTAATCTGTAATTCTAGATCATAGGTTTATTTGGCCTACTGCTCCCTTTTCAGGGGAAAAAAAAATTACACAGGAGCCCCTAGCAATGAAAACTTTTGTGATATAGACCATAATCCAGGATAAAGTGTAGGTATCTGAATTTTCAGCCCCCTCTGGATTGTTAAAATGTTCCCCAACTCCCACCCCCAACCAGAGTGTGGTATCACCCACTTTGGGAAGCACCATTCTAGACTCTAGAGCTCTGTCTTTATGGAGCTGATATTTTAATGGGGATCTTTGCAAACACTAGAAATAACATAAATGCCCACCAAAATGAACTTGTTAAAATGTGCAGTTTTACTCATAACATGGACTCAGCGGTAGAGAAGAGCTGGAGTTCAGAGGAGAGGCACTCTATGTTCAGATCTGTACTTCATTCCTTACCAGGTTTATGATATTAATCTCTTAAAACTTCAATTCCCCAATCTAGTCCATGTGTCGTGAGCTTTTCTGGATCTTTAATGAAATATCACACATGTGAAGCAGTTTTCACAGCATCTTGCACAGTTTACGTGTTTGATAAATGGTGATAATGGTGTGGTTAAGTTTATGTGCTTAACTTGCAAGAAATGGTCAGTGTCAGAATTTGGAAAGATTTGAAGGTGGAGGCACTGGATTTAGGCAGATGTTATTTGATTCTCCACCCTATTGTAAAGTCGGAGGAGGTCAGACCACCATATTGGGAACTCTTATTTCCTTGGCTTCTTATAGTTACTCTGTTTACATCATTGTAGAGCTTACAAGAAGTACCAGTCCTTCACAGATATATGCTAAAGGCATACCAGATCCAATTTTAAGATAGATAAAGGACCCCTGTTGGCCCTGTCCTTAGATATTGCCTTCATAAGTACAAGGTCAGCAGTTCAGACCCATCAAGATACTTTGTGGGAGAAAGATGTGGGTGCTCTTGTAAAGATTTACAATCTCAGAAATCTTATGCAGGCAGGGGCCCTATGAGTCAGAATAAGTTAAATGGCAGTGGATTTGGTTGGGATGGTTTTGAGATGGTAGACAAGGTATTGATTTTAAAAAAAAATTTCATATTGAGTTAGGAGAGCATGTATTAGCATCCTACCTCACCAGCTAACAAATGAGATAATTATGATGTCAAATAGACTATTAAACAAAAGGCTATATACATTTAGATTCTTCTGTGGATTCAGATTTTCCCCTGGTAGACAACAAACATGTACCTGACTATTTGACAAAAATAGATTTAAAAGATCTACTTTTCTCTTCGTATTCTAATCTAATAGAAACAAAATACATATTCGTTTATTCTAGAGGGTATTTAGAAAGTCTTTGTGCTAGTCCTTTCTAAACTATTCCCTACCGCTCACCTTTTCTCTTCATTCTTATACTTATTTCTTCAGTTCTCTTGATCTTTCCTTATTATCTTTGACATTGAGAATGTAAAAATTAATAAGAAATAGTTTCTGTTTCAAGAAGTTCACAATTATTTTATTGTAACATTCTAATACTCAAGAGTGAATGTTAGGTAGTGAATTGTAACAAACTGAATAACATTGAGCAATGGGAATTCTAGAACACTTCACTGTACTCATGCACAACCTCTGCATGGACCAAGTGGCAGTTACTCAAACAGAACAAGAGAATATACATGGTTCAAGATCAGGAGAGGTGTGCACCAGGGTTGTACCCTGTCATCATACTTACTCACTTTTGTGTGCTGAGCAAATCATCTGTGAAGCTGGACTATGTGTGGAGGGATTTGACATCAGGATCAGAAGAAGGCTTATTAACAACCTGCGATATGCAGATGACACAATCTTTCATGCTGAAAGTGAGGAAGGAGGAGGACTTGCAGCACTTGATGAAAATCGAAGACTGCAGCCTTCAGTATGGATTACAACTTAATGCAGAGAAGCCAAAATTTCCAAAACTGGATCAGTAGGTACATCATGGTAAACGGAGAAAAGATAGAAATTGTTGAGGATTTTGCCTTACTGGGATCCAAAATCAATGCTCGTAAAAGAGGCAGTGAAGAAACCAAACAAGGTGTTGCACTGGGCAACTCTGCTGTACAAGATCTCTTTAAAATGTTGAAGATCAAGGATGTCACTTTGAGGACTAAAGTATGCCTGATCCAGACCATATTTTTAGTCACCTCACAGGCATGTGAAAATTGGACAACGAATAAGGAAGGCCACAGAAGAATTGATGCATTTGAATTATGGCGTTGCGAAGGATGTTGAGAGTACTGTGTACTGCTAGTAGAACAGACATATCTGCCTTGGATGAGTTGCAGTCAATATTCCTTAGAAGCAAGGGTGGTGAGACTGTCTCAGATGCTTTGGACATGTCATCCGGAGAGACCAGACCCTGGAGAAGGACATTATGCTTGGTAAAGTGAAGAGGCAGCGATACAGAGGAAGACCCTCAGCAAGATGGATGGACACAGTGGCTGCAGTAATGGGGTCAAACGTAAAAACTGTGAGGATGGTACAGGACCAAGCAGTGCTTTTTCTGTGGTACATAGGGTTGCTGTGAGTTGGAGCTGATTCTTCAGCACCTCACAACAAGCAGTCTTTATTTGATGGCTATTTTTTCTGTTCATATTTTTCACATTAAGTGTGTAAGTATTTATTGAGCACTCAGTATGTGGTCCAGGGGAGATTTCTCCCCTTCTATATGGCACATGGGGTTGATCTTGGTCTATGGCCTCATTTGCTTGTTGGAAGATACGTGTGTGTTGCTATGGTGCTGACAGGCTTCAGTGGGGCTTCCACTGAAACAGTCTTGTAAGAAAGGTCTAGTGGTCTACTTCTGAAAATTAGTCAGTGAAAACCCTGCTGTTTCCTGTCTTACATGGTGTCACATGGCCTACTCGTGCTTGGGGTCACCACGAGTCTGGCAAAACAAAAGCCAAATTTATGGTGAAGTTTGGAAAATGATAAAGTCACTGATGCCTTACGAAAAGATTGCGGGGACAATGACCCAAAGAAGTCAGCCGTTTACAAATGAGATGAGACAATTAAGATTAAGAAGGGATAAGATGGTGTTGAAGGTAAAACAATCTTGTTTATTTTCTAATTCAAATGGACTGATAATTAACAGCAGATATATTAGCTAACCATCCCTCACTGCTACCGAGTTGAGAGTTGGTGCCAGCTCAGAGTGACCCTGTAAGACAAGGTAGCACTGACCCTGGAAAACCCCCATGGATTTCTGAGACTAACTCATTAGGAGTAGAAAGCCCTGTCTTTCTCTCCCTGGCAACACCGTAGACAGACATCGTCCCTCAGTTGATGTGGCCAACAGATTCTGAGTGACAACTTAAAAGCTGAACAGACTCTCCTGGATAGGTGCCCAGACCGTTCACATCCAGATTAACTACAGATCAGAGTAGAGCTTTTATTAGCAGATCTCGAGGCATTTCTTTGCAGAATTCTAACGAGCTAAAAACAAGATCTTTGAAGGCAAAGCGTAATCAAAGCAATGCTTACCAAGAGGAAGAAGGTCCATTCAAAGCACAAGCAGACCAGTTAAGAACAGGTCATGGCAACAGTGATTTTTTTTATGCCTTGTGGAAGACATTTTGCATTTTGACTTTTTGGAGAGCCAATAAATGATGACATCTCTTTATTAGGAGAGTGCTTTTAAGAAAGTTAGCCAAAGCTTTAGCAAAAAAATGCCTGGGAAAGGTTCACCAGAGAGCCCTTCACTACCATGACAATGATCCTGTTCATTACTCTCATCAAACAAGTGCAATCTTTTTGTTTTTTAAAGAAGTACAATTTTACGAGGATGTCCATGGAACATGATTAGGCTTTTACCTTAGAGTCCTGATTTGGCTCCTTCTGATTTCCTAATTAAAAAAGATTTTTAAAGGGCCCTTATTATTCTTCAGTTAATAATGTAAAAATAGGACTTCATTGACTTGGTTCAATTCCCAAGACCTCAGTACTTTAGGAACCGGCCAAATGGCTATCATTACTTTCAAAAGTGTCTTGAACATGATTGAGCTGGTGTTGAGAAATAAAGTTGAAATGGTTTAAAGTTTCATGCCACTTTTCCACTAACTTTTTGAAGTCTCATGAATTTTATACTTCATATGCTTCTATCAAAAATAATGTATACAAACACTGGGCTTTCCTATGCCAGGCATTTCTTATTTAGAGGTAGAACGTGGTTACCAGTCTTCCTGAATAGCTGTCTGGAAGGTCCATTCCCTTCAGTGCATGTATTTCAAATGTTACAATTGTGAAGATAACTAGTGTTTTGTCTGGTGTACACAGATTGCTGTGAGTTGGACCTGACTCGACTGCACCAAACAACAACATATTGATCTTTATGGCGGTTTGAAAGCACAGAAGAATATCTAGCTGGAGAGAAATAGAATAGAAATGATTGGGATAGGCTTTATAGAGGATGTGATGAATCTCTTGGTGACCATTTGCCTCATTGCTACTCCATGCTATTTCTCAGGAAAGGAAATCCTCCCAGTGGGCAGAACTTTGAACAGTATACCTGGCCGTTCAGTTTGCCTGGAAGGCAAAATGACCAAATGTGAGATTGTACACTGACTTATGGGTGTGGCTAATGGCTTGGCTGGATGGTCAGGGAATTGGAAGGAACATGATTAGAAAATTGGTGACAAGAAGGTGTGGGGAAGAGGTATGTAGATAGACCACTCAGAATGGGCCAAGAAAGTAAAGATAATCGTGTCTCATGTGAATGCTCACCAAAGGTTTACCTCTGACGAGGAGGACTGTAACAATGAAGTGGATAAGATGACACACACTGTGGAGCCTTGTCCTCCTCTTTCCTCTGCCTCTCCTGTCATCACCCAATGGGCACATGAATGGGACATGGTGGCAGGGATGGAGGTTATGCATGGGCACAGCAACATGGACTTCCACTCCCCAAGGCTGACTTGACCACTGCCACTGCTGAGTGCCCATCTGCCAGCAGCATAAGTCCAAGATATGGGACCATTCCTTGGGGAGATCAACCAGCAACTTGGTGGCAGGTTGATTACGTAGGACCACTTCTGTCATGGAGGGGGCAGTGTTTTGTTCTTACTAGAATTGACACCTGCTCTGGATATGGATTTGCCTTCCCTGTACACAATACTTCTGCCAAAATTACCATTTGTGAACTTACAGAATGCCTTATCCACCTGCATGGCATCCCACATCGCATTGCTTCAGCTCAAGGAACTCACTTCACAGCAAATGAAGTGCGGCAATGGGCCCATGCCCATGGAATCCACTGGTTATATCATGTTCCTCTTCATCCTGAAACAGCTGTTTTGATAGAACGATGGAATAATCTCCTAAAGACACAGCTAGGTGGCAACAAATTGTGGGGCTGAGGCAATGTTCTCCAGGAGGCTGTATATGCTCTAAACCAGCGGCGAATATATGATGCTGTGTTTCCAGTAGCTAGAATTCATGGGTCCAGGAACCTAGGGGAGGAAGCTGGTGTGGCACCACTCATTATTACTCCTAGTGATCCATTTGCATTCTTTTTGCTTCTTGTCCCAGCAACCCTATGCTGTTCAAGCCTGGAGGCCCTAGTCCCGAAGGTAGGAACTCTCCCACCTGGAACACAGTACTGATTCTACTGAACTGGCAGCTGAGAATGCTCCCTGGCCACTTCAGGCTCTTCATGCTTTTGGATCAATAGATTAGGAAGAGTGTCACTGTACTGAGTGATGTGATTGATCCTGATTACCAAGGAGAAATTGGACTGGTGTTACATAATGGAGGTAAAGAAGAATATGTCTGGAATCTAGGACATGCCCTAGGCCTTCTCTTAGTACTACCATGCCCTGTGAGTAAAGTAAATGGTAAACTATAGCAACCCAATCCTGAGAGGATGTTGAATGACCCAGACCCCTCAGGAATGAAGGTCTGGGTCACCCCACTGGCAAAGGACCACAACCAGCTGAGGTGCTGACTGAGGGCAAAGGTAAAACCGAATAGAAAGTAGAATAAAGTAGTTCTGCCAATCAGTTATAACCATGTGATGAGTTGCAAAAGTGAGGTTTGTGATTGTCAGTATTCTTTATATGTGCTTATTGGATATTTTTCCTTTGTTCATGTATCATGTACCAGATACAATTAGATTCAGTGTGTTTTCATTTATATATATAATAGATGTATGATGTTAAGTGTAAGTGTGATTTCATTAATGTCTGGAAATTATATAATGTCTGGAAAAATATATATTCTAAAGAATGTATACAGGTGCCAAGTTGGCAAGGGGTAGACTGTGATAGGTTTATTGTGCCAATCTGGCCAATAGGAACATGTGGGCTTAATCAGGTCACAGTTTGATTTGAGGGCAAAGAGATAAATGGCTCTGCAAGGCCTGACCCCTCTCTCTCTCGCTCTCTGGTGATCAGAGTGTGCTAGAGCATGCTGCTGCTTTAGCTAGTTCTCTGCCTCAACCTGTGAGCTATACTACTTGTGGGTTAGGCCAGCATGTGGATCGTGTCCATAGAGCTTGAGACTCCTTTGAGACCTTGGTGTGTACATTGCTTGAGCTTGAGACTGGTGGATCCTGTCCCCTTGCATTGCTTGCGATCGATATCTCATCTGTTTGATATCTCATCCGGGCCTGCTTCTCTAAGCTCCTGAGCTACTGATGGTTGGTGATTCACCCTGCCACTTGCTGCCTCTGGGCAGACTCTGCTTGCCTTGCCCAAGGGAGGACTCAGCTGTCTGCTTTGTTGACCTTGGACCTGGCAGCCCTAGTGAGTTGAAGGACATCCGGTATATTAACTATTCCATGGGAGTTGAACTGAGCCCTGTGTACTGCTCTGTGGACTAATTAGCTGTTATATTCCTTCTCATTGTATGAATCTATCTATGTATCTGTCTATGTATGTATGTATGTATGTATGTATGTATGTATCTATCTATCTATCTATCTATCTATCT